ATTGATCCTGCAAAGGAACTAACAACTGTGGCTGTACAGAGGATTCCCAGCTAAGAAAATGAGCAAATGGAGAATATTCCACTTGAGTTTGAAACAACACATCAGAAAAAAACCAAACAAGTGAAGGAAACAGGGATATAAATAAATGGATTCAGGGTGAAGCCTTGCTCCAAGTTTTACCTCACAAGTGAGAGCAAATGTGTCAGTTTAATTTTCCTAGAGGAAAACAAAGGAATTGTCTACTGAAATCAACCAGCAAGTGGATTGATCCTGCAAAGGAACTAACAACTGTGGCTGTACAGAGGATTCCCAGCTAAGAAAATGAGCAAATGGAGAATATTCCACTTGAGTTTGAAACAACACATCAGAAAAAAAACAAACAAGTGAAGGAAACAGGGATATAAATAAATGGATTCAGGGTGAAGCCTTGCTCCAAGTTTTACCTCACAAGTGAGAGCAAATGTGTCAGTTTAATTTTCCTAGAGGAAAACAAAGGAATTGTCTACTGAAATCAACCAGCAAGTGGATTGATCCTGCAAAGGAACTAACAACTGTGGCTGTACAGAGGATTCCCAGCTAAGAAAATGAGCAAATGGAGAATATTCCACTTGAGTTTGAAACAACACATCAGAAAAAAACCAAACAAGTGAAGGAAACAATGATATAAATAAATGGATTCAGGGTGAAGCCTTGCTCCAAGTTTTACCTCACAAGTGAGAGCAAATGTGTCAGTTTAATTTTCCTAGAGGAAAACAAAGGAATTGTCTACTGAAATCAACCAGCAAGTGGATTGATCCTGCAAAGGAACTAACAACTGTGGCTGTGCAGAGGATTCATAGCTAAGAAATGAGCAAATAGAGAATATTCCACTCAAGTTTGACATGACAGATCAAAAAAAAAACCTGAAAAAACAGGGATAAAAATAAATGTATTAAGGGTAAACCCTTGCTCCATGTTTTGCCTCACAAGTAAGAGCAAATGTGTCAGGGCAAGGTTCATCTTCTTAGAGGAAAAATATATTGTCTAGTGAAATTATGCAGCAAATGAGCAGGTGAGTGGTGGATTGATCCTGCAAAACTGGGGATTCCCACCTGAGCAATGAGCAGATTGAGAATATTCCACTCAGGTTGGAAATGACAGAGCCCAAAAAAAAAAAAAAAGAAAATCCTGAAAAAAACATCTTCCCTAAAATTTCATGCAAATTTATGCTTGTTTGAACTTCAACCCACATCCCTTTAGCCCTCAAATTATCCCAACCAACTTCATACTAAGGACACATTGTTCAAAACAAAACTGTGCTGCTGTCAGGAGCATGAAATGACTGTTCAACCCTCACCAGAGAATGCTCCTGAACACCCAAAAAAAGGCACAGTCACTCAACTAAGGCTCCTGCCAGTGCCCCAGTGCTGCTGCTGGAGCTGCTCTTGTCATTCTGTACCCCAGGAGATGTTGTAAGGTCACTAAAACTCTCCTCACACCTCCCCAGATTAAGATTATTTTAGCACTGGTCTTTGAAATCAAGTACCAAGAACATTTGCACAACATTCAGAATTAGCAAAGGACTTTGGATCCTCTAAGAAGAAGAATAAATGGATTCAAAGATCCAAGATAACTCTGAGATTGCAGAGAACTGTCACTCCTTGTACAGAGAGATGGGAAAGGCAACTGGGGCCAAGTTTGGTGAGAGCAAAAAGCCACAGAGCAGCAATGCAGACTCTTCCCTCCAAGTACAACTGAGGGACTTTGTGTCCCTTTCCCAGTTGCCAAGAAGAGATATAAGGATTAATTAATTCATTCAAATTTTAGGGAGTTATATTTAGGAATTGCACTGCTAGATCTGATCAAGGAGGTCGCAGAGCCCTGCAGGAATCCTCTGAAAGGAGATTTACTGGAGAACAGAGTGATTAGAAAGCTCCTATAAACCATTTTAAAGCATATTCTATCAGGAAAAGTTGAGCACAGACAAGTGTTGATCTAATTACACCCAAATCCGTAAGAAATGTGAACCTGGACTTTGTCAGACTCACATATATCCAATCTCATTGGCAGGATTTTACTAAAAGAATGGGAAATCATCTTCTGCAACAGATGGAGCATCTCCTGCTCTGCTCAGTGCCATGGAACTGAGGCCACAGCCTGAGAGTCTTGTCTTTAAGCACTGCTAACTGGCACTGACACTGCACTGAGCTCTGCAGCAGAACTTTGTCCCCAAAACACTCCATGGATGGACAGCAACAATTCCTTCCCACCATCACTTCTACATGGAAAACCAAAGAAACACAATGAGATCCCTAAAGCCAAGGGAAGGGTCAGTGTATAACTCAGAATTTCTTGCTGTCAGATCCACTGTGCTTTGCTGTGATAGAAATGGGCTTTGGGGTTTAGTTTACATCATTGATGCTCGACCTAACAATTTCCACCTCCAGATCACATCCCACTGGACACTGCCCATGGATACTTACAGTTCCTTAATGCATCCAGTGCCCACTGCCCTTCTGGCACTGAGGGGGAAGTGGTGGCTGTGTGTTCATAGCATGCAGAGGAGTCTTTCAGGGCCAGATCTGCCTGCTGCACCTTATCAAACTGTCCTTCAGACCCCAGGAGACTTTCTACCTTGGACTTTTCAGCCATGATGGGTGAAGAAGACTGAGTGTTCAGTATTAAAGGAGACTCCAGGCCCAAGTCTTTATCTAGGGAACAGAAAACACACGTTTAGGTTAAACAACTGTGGCAAATGTGATGATAAACTGCAGAGAATTCCGTTTCACACTACAAAACAGTTCTTGAGCATGGGTTTGGTAAAAGGGCAATTCCTTCTTAAAAAAGACTCTTTCCATCAATTTATCAAACAGAAACAGTAAGAGCTACATTTCCAAGAGGTTCAGCATCACTTCTGTGCATGACTTGTAAGGAAATCATTCCTTTCCACGAAGTCAGAGCCCCCAGGAGATTCCCAAGCCACAAAGAATATGGTTTAGCACATCTGCTCTTCAAATCTCCTGACCCCATTTCCTGAAGCAATGTTTTACCTGGACTTTGCAGACTACTGGCAGGAATGTCATTCTGCTCTTTGAGCTTCTGCTGCTCCTCTTCTTCACGTTCCTCTCTGCAGGGAAGGAACAACCAACACATTCTTTTAGTCACCTTGATGTGAGTCCCTGCAGGACAATCCATGCTTTGGCTGCAGGCTCTGAGCAGAAGAAGAGGTGCTGGAGAAAGGCAAACCAGCCCTTCCTCCTGCAGCTTTTACTTACTCTCCAGGGCCTGACTGTGGCAGTGGAATGACTCTTCTGGTGCTGCCCATTTTCACAGTCCCTGCCATCTGAGCTATCAGGTCCTGCCAACTGCAGCACAAACAGCAAATCAAAACATGCAGCAAGTGAAGCATAATGAATACTAACATCTATTGAACACCTCTCCTGCTTTTTGTAAGTTGGGAGAGACTATCCTTGGACACTTCCTACACAGCTATGTTTTCAGCTAAGCTTAGAGTAGGAGCTCAGGTAACTCAGGGACACCTGCACAGGTACTGCAGGCAAGCAGCTGTAAGAGATCTCTCAAGTACAACACATCAAGCAGCAGCTGGAGCTGAAGCAATTACTTACACATTCTTCTCTGAGACAGTCTGTGCCACCAGCTCATAAATATGAGCTCCGTTCTCTGACATGGAGATGACGAAGAAAGCTTTGTTATCTGCACAACACAGGGAAGGAAGAATTGAAGGAGATGCTTTATCCCACACAGCCTTCTTGAAAAGTCCTCAAACTAGCCCTAACCCCAGCCCAAAGCAATGAAAGAACAGTTCAAACATTGACCTTTCCCTGTCCAGCAAATGTGTCCTCAGAGAAAAGAACCATTACTGCCCAAACCATTTCCAAAAAAGCTTCTTTTCTCCTCTTTTCCCTCCTAATAATTTCCAGAGTACCTTTCATCTAACACAATCAGAGCACTTTAATTTAGAAGTCTATTTAAAACTCAAGCAGTGCCTATTACTGATGCAGAGAAGTTAAACAGCTCATACATACTAAGCACAGTGTTGGACAACCAAGAATTAAGCCTACGCAGTTTGCCATGTTCTACTCTGCAATTCCACACAGAAACATCTATTCTCAACTCAGCTCATCTGGATTTTGGCTTCTCCTTTGGCCTTCTCAATGGCTTTCACTGACCTGTTGCCACCTGACGAACCAGGACAGTGTTGAGTTTGATGATGGGACTGAAGGTGTGTTTGCTGTCAGCTGTTGAGGCCAAGATCTTGCTGTGACACTTCAGGACCAGTTTGTCATCTTGTTTCTGCAACAGCACCAGGATGTCCTCCAGCAGCAGAGTGTAGAGATCTGCCCAGAGTGTAAAAGGACCCAGAATGAGTTCCACAGGGGGTTCAGCAATGGGTTCCACACCCCTGCAGAAAGCCAAAAGCTGCATTCTGGATTACTCATGCAGAGGCAGCAATCAGTGCTTTGCCAATCCAGCCTGCAAATCTTCCTTATGGAAGCTACAGCAAAAAGCTACAGATGGAATTAGATCAGCTCATGGCTGACTGCTGTGTCCCTGCATGGCCCTAATGACTCTCCAGCACACTGCAGAATGGGCCAGAATGATTGAATCAGCTCTGAGGAGCACACAGGCACTGCTGGAGGTGGCAGGAGGAATCATAACTGGGATCTGCAGCAATGATTTCTCCTTCTCTCCTTCCCAGCAAACACACACAGATGCAGCGAGGTCAGGGCACAGCACAGGACTCACCTATGGTTTTGTCACGATTCACCTTCCAAGTCAGAGGTCCTTCATGGAGCATTTTTCTCTTTGTTAGATCCAGGTTCTGTCACCAGGAGAAAGAAAACAGAAGCACTATGAAATTTCTATGGAAGCAAGTCATGATAAAACATGGGAATGGCAGAGGGAGTCCAGTTTGGAGATGAGAATCTAAACCCAGTCTGAGACAGGAGGAGGTAGTGCTTGTAAACCAAAGTGTTGGTTATCACCTGTCCTCTCTCTCTGCTCTTTAGCAGATGCTGAATAGCACAGGGTGGAGGATTTTCCTACTAAGTCACACTCCTAAGACATAAGGATGTCACCTGTTTTCTAGAAGGAGTTTCTCCAATATCTCATGCCAAGTTTGCAGTGACACTCACAGAATCAGCAAGGTTGGAAGAGACCTCTAAGATCAGCAAGTCCAACCCTTAACCTGTCACTGCTGTAACCCCTAAACCATATCGTGCAGTGTCAGATCCAGACACCTCTTAAACACCTCCAGGGATGGTGACTCCAACACCTCCCTGGGCAGTAACTGAACACCCTCACAGGGGGGGAGGAAAAAAAAAAAAAGTGAAAAAAGGTTCTAGTATTACAAGTGGTTAATGCTTGAGCACTTGATTTGCAAGTCAAGTGTTCTACAAATGATATACAAATCATCCCAGGGATCTGACGGAATTTCTAATGTCAATGGATTCCTCAGGCATTTCAGTGCTGTGACATTTAGAAGTGCAGGCAAGCACAAGTGACAATTTTCACAATTCATCCCTTCCAAGTCTCAGAGTCTACAATCAATGACAGCAGGATTTCATAACTGCCAGGAAGTGCTGCATTTCCTGCCTGAATGGTTCCAAGTGTATTTGGGGAAGGACACGTGACACAGTTTGAGAGAAAAAAAAATCTTCAGAGAACAATTTCTGGGGTACACATTGACTTTGGGGGAACAACCAACAAGTAAGGAGCTTCACTAATGGAACTGCAAAGGTTTACAGGGGTCAGGAACCACAGGTGTTTTAGCACTGGACTTGAATTTATGTGGTTATACCTGTGGATCTCATATAGAGATCAACCTGTACAAGGTCTACTTTCAAAGTCAACTGCATTGCTACACCTCATGGCTCTCTGAGACTTCCCCCAACACCATAAAGTTCAAAACAAAGTTCACATTGCTGAGACTACTTGTTTCTGTTTTCCTACAGAAATATTTCTCTCCAAAGACCATTTGATTGTATGGCAGGAACAAACTTAAGGGTTGCAAACACAACTGGCAGAGAGATGGTTGCAATACTTCACTCACCCTGAACTCATCCATCATGGGATCCTCAGACTGCTTCAGGTAGGACAGGTCGAGCCGACGTTGATAATCTTCCAAATGCTGCAGAAAATCAGAGAATAAGAAAATTTCAGGGGTTGGAATGGACCTCAGAGAGCAGCTAGCCTATGATTCTAAGTCATGGAGGGACTTTTTTCCAAGGGCACATGGGGACAGGACAACAGGGAATGGCTTCACACTGAAGGAGAGGAGATCTAGATTAGCTATGAGGAAGAAATTCTTCCCTGTGAGGGTGGTGAGGCACTGGCACAGGCTGCCCAGAGAAGCTGTGGGACATTTATCAATCATAGTATGTGAAGAGGTTGGAATGGAGCTCATCCAGCCCCAACCCCCTGCCCTGGGCAGGGACACCTCCCACCAGAGCAGGTTGCTCAAGGATTCAGCCAACCTGGCTATGAACACTGCCAGGGTTGGGGCAGCCACAGCCTCCCTGGGCAACCTGGGACAGTGTCTCACCACCCTCACAAGGAAAACATCTTCCTAAGATCTCATCTAAATTTCCCTCTTTCAATTTGTACCCAAATATGATGGAAATGGTCACTTTAGCAGCAAAACTCCCTGGGGTCCCAGTGCAGAGAGTCACGGACACTTCCACACACTCTCAAAGACTCAGGATGCTTCTCCTTGTGCCACAAAACATCTTGCAGCACAACACAAAGTCACTAGTACAGAGACTGCAGGTGTCTTAAACAGCTTATTATTCTCCCCAAGCCTCAGCCCTCACTCCTTGCTTGTTCTCTCCTCCTACCTGCTTGTTCTCTGACTCTTTGACAGCTTGGTTGACGTGGTTGAGGATCTGGCGACAGTGATCTGCTGCTTTCTTCACTTTCTCTTTCTCTTCAGGCAGCTCTGCAAGTGAAAAAGCAAATGGAACAATGCTCATTTGATAACTCAGCAATCCAGTGCAGTTTGCTGCCCTCAAATCTGAGAAAGAGAAGTTCAATTTGCAGAAAAAACTATCAATAACATGTGCATTGCTGAGGTGAAGCGATAAAAATAGATGTGTGACAGGAGATAATTCAGCCTGACCTGCAGATCATCATCCCCAGTGCAATGCTTTTTACTGCCTTTTTTTTTGAGGGGTTTCAGACAACTATTCACTCCACAAGGAATAATCACAAGTATTCTGAGAGATCTAAACTCTTTCCTGAGGCTTCACTGTGGTACAGAGAAGGACAGACCCAGGGGAACTCATCAATTCTCACTACCACAAGCCACAGTCAGGATTTAGTTACCAGGCAATAAACCAGTACATCAAAGATAATGGAGTATCACATGCTTTCCTAATGATGATTAGAGGGAGCTTGTCCATGCAAGTCTATTTTTCAGGAGTAATGAAATTAAACTGCAGCAGGTATGGGATAGTAATCCTGCAAAGGCACATTGGGGTGTTGTTAATCACACTTTTACCTGTTGTGCTGGAAGGAGCTTTCAGGGTAGCATATTCTATCTCCATATGATTGTGTTTCTGTGATTTTGTAACTCTAACTAAATCCCACCCTCTGCCAGAACATGAGAACCTTCTGTGGTGCTTTGGAGACTGAACAGATTCGCTTGTTTCACACTGAATGTCCTTTATTTTTTTCCCTTAGAAGGGCCAAACACTGAATTTTCTGGTTTATTATCATTTTTAACCTGCTCTCCTGTGCAGAAAGCAGCACTGAGGCCACGCAGGACACACAGAGTGAACCAAAAAACTGAGCTGCATTCAACACATGCTTTGATATCCCATTTCCCAGCTGAGCTGGATGGACAAATCCCAGTGGAAAGGCTTTACCTGTGTACTTGGCAATGTTATCCAGCAGAAGGGGATACTTAGTCAGCCTCTGCATCTCTGTGGGGATGATATCCTTCAACTGCAAGCGGCGACACAGTGGATTGCTCTCAGCATCCTAAAGTTAAGCAGCACAAAATCTATTTGTCATTTTTATTAGGCCCATAATTACCTCAATGCATAACATCTCTTCATCACACCCATGTCTATTACTTCACTTGGCAGTAATTAAACACAAGCCATGAAATGCCAAGATCCATCATTCACACAACACAGTCTGCAGTCAGGGAGAGGGGAAAGCTCATCACAAAAGCAGTGGTTTCCTTCCCTCATTCCATCCCAGAGGCATGGGATCAGCCCCAATCCATCTCAGTCAGCACCACACAGGGAGCACATCACTTTAGGCTTTCACACTGGAGCTAAATACAGGACATTTTTCAATGTAATCTCCCCTTGTATTACCAGAGCTCTTCCCAGCCTGTGGTAATGAAGATAATGTTCTCTCCTGCAAATGCCACATGTATCCAAGCCCTTTCCTGGCAGGCAGAACAGGTGTACATCATCTGTCTTCTGCTCGTGGCATGCATGGAAATGGCACTTCTCTAAGCACTTTTTCCCCTCTCCACACACAACTCCTCAGCCTTAGGAAACAGCCACCTCAAGTGACATGCATCTCCTGCCTGGGACACCATGTGCTCTCCTGCATTCCAGCAAAACATTCTGTGTTCCCCACCAGTAAAGGCTCCTCCCTCCAGAAACCATTAGCAGAGCTAAACACAGTGTTGGAAATGATCCCAATCTGAAGGCAGTGTTAGACATGATGTCATTAATTATCAGAACTGGATCTCCAAGCATTCCTTGGGCTGTTCTGGCCTCCAGCCACATCCTGGGGCAACTCCAAGTGGTGTCAAACTCACCTGCACAAAGGTCTGGAAACGTGAGTCCTTCTTCTGGCGGGACTTGATCACCTCCAGAGCAAAGGGCTGGTTACTGCAGAAGGTGGCAGTTGCATGCTTCAGCTTCTCCTCTGCTGGTCCACTAAACTGTGCCAGAAAGCCAAGAAAGCCTTTTTCAGCAGGAGCCACTTTCAACATATACAGCCATGGAGAACTGGACTTGCTAGGGAAGGAATTGCTGACAAAACATAGGAGTAATTTCTGCCCTGGTTTAAGGCTTTGTCTTCCCATTCTCCTGAGGAACCTCTTTATATCTCCAAATCTACAGTTCTTCTGTCACTAACCCTAACACATTTATAGGATCATAGAATTTTAGGGGTTGGGATGGAGTTTAGAGATCAATTCCCTGCCCTGGGCAGGGACACCTCCCACCAGAGCAGGTTGCTCAAGGCTCATCCAACCTGTCTGTGAACACTGCCAGGGTTGGGGCAGCCACAGCCTTCCTGGGCAACCTGTGCCAGTGTCTCACCACCCTCACAGGGAAAAACCTCTTCCTAATATCTAATCTCAATGTCCCTCTTGAGTTCATCCCCATTACATTATAGAATCCCAGAATGGTTTGAGGCCTTAAAGGCCCTGGGCAGGGACACCTCCCACCAGCCCAGGTTGCTCTAAGCCCCATCCAACCTGGCCTTGAACACTTCCAGGGATAGGACATCCAAACCTTTCCACAAGGATCTTGGAAAGGAAGCTTGCACCAGTGCTAGAAGCTTTCAAAGGTTCAGCTATGTAAATTCTAGGACTGGCAATCAGTATTTTTAACTTTTAACTGCATCACAGACAGCACAAGACTTGGATTTCAGTGGTACTGAAATAAATTGTGCTATTCCATTTTTAGCCAAATCCTACTCTCACCTTTATGTCTCCAAAACCACCTTTCTACTCTACCCACACAGCATAAGGAAATTATTTCTGTTCCTTAAATTCCTCTTATCTCTAGCCAAATGCAAACCCTCTGAGTTCTTTCTGCTTTCTTCCAGCTCTGTGTTGGCTCCACAGAAATGACAACTCTAAGCCCTTCAGTTCCCATTAGCTGGGAATTATCTTCATCAACCTCTGCCTCTGCCATTCTAGGAAACATTAAAGCATAAGACAGCACAAAAGAATTTTACCCAGGAAAGCAAATCCTCCCCAATCTGGCCAATAACAGAGGTCTCGTTCCTTTTCCGGACAGATTTCATTTGGTCATTCAGTGCAACTTAAAGGAAGAAGAAAAAGAAGTAGATTTTATTCATACTGCTCAAATGGTCTGTTTAATTTTCAGCATTTCGTTTAGAATAAAAGCTATTCTAGGAAAGGACTAGATTTGCAATAATTTCCATTAAATGAGTATTCTGTAAGATAATGAATTTAGCAATCTATCTATGAAATGTTATGTATCTCCTTTGTACTTTTGTCTCACCTCTCTTCAAATGACCCCTAAGAACCTTTCCAGTCTTATCCTTCCTGAGCATCACTACCACTCTTTAAAGAACAGCAATAGCAGAACACACTTCAAGTCACTTGGACCAATGACACAAGTGATGATTCAGTGGCAGAGCTGAAACTCTCCTTCTGAGCAGGCCTTGCCCTAAACATTTAGGAAGGGTCACCCTTCAAATCCACCTGCAAGACATCAATCTGTTCAGGTTTGGCTTCATATTCTCTTCCAAAAGCAGTTGTAGCATCTCAAGTGTTGACCCATAAAGCCTATTCCAAGCACTGCTGTTTTATCAAGCAGGAATCAGCACAAGGCAGGCTGTGCACACTGATAAGAGAAAGTATTGGAACACTGGACAGATTCCTTATCAAAATATCTTTGTAAATAAAAAAGGAATAAATGTGTGCAAAAGCAAGACCAGTTGGGAGTCTTCTCTTTAGAATCACTCTCCTGTTTTAGGAGTTGGGATGCAGAATTCCAGCTGCAAGGCACCTCAGCTGCTCTTACCATGAAGGCCAAGGATATCCTCCAGATTGGAGAAGATTTTCCTCTTGTCACTGGAGCTGAGGATGCCTTCCCGGGTGACTCTCTGGTAGAAGACATTGTGCAGCACCTTGAGCGTGCGCACGTGAGCTCGCTCGGTGTAGAACAGCTCTGGGGAGAGAGGGGAGAGCAGGGCTGTGACTCTGGGAGTGGGACATGGATCCAAACATGCATCAAACAGGAGTCAGAAGGCTGAACTGAGAACAGTCTCCCTCAGCAACACTTTAAATCATCAAGGTTGGAGGAGACCTCTGAGGCCATCGAGTTCAACCATTAACCTGTCACTGCTGTAATCCCTAAACCATGTCCTCCAGGGTCACATCCAGATGCCTCAAACACCTCCAGGGATGGTGACTCCACCACCTCCCTGGGCAATATTCCACTGCCTGAACTCCTTAACAGTGAACAATTTTCCCTAATATCTACTCTAATTCTCCCCAGTCTCAGCTCAAGGCCATTCCCTCTAGTCCTCCCCCTGCAGCATGGCAGGAGAGATGACCTTGCTGGCTCAGATTCCAGGGTGGAGATCTCTGCTACACTTCCATATCTGAATGACCAGAGAAGCCAACGGATTTGTCAATTCATTGTCAATCACACTGACAATCAATTTGGCAATCATTGGAGCTCTAAGCAGCTCCCACAGCCACACAGAGTTCTGCACCACTGAAAGACCTGGACTTGAGATGAAGCTTTGAAGATGAAGTTTGGGAGTAGCATTTGCATCATGTGCTTTGCAGTGGTCTAGCCAGTGCCTCTCTTGCTTTCTTTTACAGAACATACTGCAAACTGATGTTTCAGTGTCTTAATATTTTTTAAGAACCACTTCATACAGTTTATTTCTTCCCTAAGACTGGATCAGCCTCACCTCAGGATGCTTTTCAACAACAACACACACAAGAACTCTGCAAACCAGAGGCTGCAGCCACTACTTTGAGCAAATCAGTGAAGACCTAGTTACAAGTGATAAGAACTTCAAAGACAGATTTCAGCTTTGGTCTTGGTGAGCTAGGGAGGAACATCCATCTCACCATTAATCACTTCCTGGCGCTTGATCTCATAGGGTTTGAGCCCCATCAGCACCTCACGGCTCACAAGCTGCTGCCAGTTGGGAGGGTCCATGTCCATGTCACAATCATAGAGCTCATCCTCACTCTGGACATCTGCAAAGCCAACACTGTCCATCCTACGGTGAGAAAAAACTGTCAGACACTTCCCATTTTAGGCCAGGACATAAGGAAGGAAGAGGAGCAAAGCTAAGTGTATCTATCATTGTGAACACTCTCCATGTCAGCTGTGTGATGTCTGAACCTATAGGCACATCTCATTTTGCCCTTTACAGAACAACTGAGAGTGAATATCTGTTCTTACACTATTCCCATAACCTTCCATTTAATGGCAAAGATCAAATAGTTTGCTTGAAGCCACATATCAAGTCATGAAAGGGCAGGTTACAAATTCTTTCCTCCCTCTGCAGATCCAGAGCTAACAGCAACACAGGTTTGAAAAAGGAAATATGGAAATCTCTACTCCCTAAGTGTCATTCATTCACATCAGCAGATCCACTTCACTCATCCATCACAGCCTTTACTTGCATATGACTCACTCCACCTGTGCTATATGTGGCTCAGAGTGTCTGAGTTCACAGAGGTGTTATTAAGGAGAAGGAAAGATCCTGTGCTGGCTCAGAACAATGAACACTGCATTCTATTTCAGCAAACCTAAACAAAACCAGTGGAGTTCAAACACTTCTAACCATACTCACTTGCGAAAGGGCTTTGGTGTTCCCATGTCAACCATCCTGCAAGGAAGGAAAGAGGTGATCAGGGAAACAAGTGCTGAATTTGTCAACCATCCTGCAAGGAAGGAAAGAAATGATCAGGGAAGCAAGTGCTGAATCTCACCCCACTCAGCCCAAATTCAGAGTGCAGGTCTAAGGACCTCACTACAACATTTCACCCACCTGTCAGTCTCCCCCTCCTCACAGCCAGTTTTCTCATCCCACCATGGCAGCAGACAGAACAGCTTTTCCTAACTCTCCCAGCAATCCTTAATACAAATCATGTCACTAATAATTTTATGGACTAAGTTTCAACAGCCTTTGGCACACTGACATAGGAGCTGGACTACAACAATCCTCACCCCCTCCAGCTCAGGATACTCTCACTCTATTCCTCTTTCCAGCTCAGGATACTCTCACTCTATTCCTCTCTTTCCAGCTCAGGATACTCTCACTCTATTCCTCTCTTTCCAGCTCAGGATACTCTCACTCTATTCCTCTCTTTCCAGCTCAGGATACTCTCACTCTATTCCTCTCTTTCCAGCTCAGGATACTCTCACTCTATTCCTCCCATTCCACCTCAGGATATTCTCATTCCATTCCTCTCTTTCCAGCTCAGTATATTCCCATTCTATTCCTCTCTTTCCAGGCTCACTCAACAAGCAGGACACCACAGTTACCTCTCTGATTCTCCCTCCTCCTCCTGCAAGTTTTCCAAAGGAGATGGGAACTCGAAGGTGTTGTTGGGAGTGCGAGGTGTGCCATCCAGAGAGTCACTGACAGGTGGAACTTCTCCAGTCTGCTTCAAACCTAGACAGAGAGCAAGTGTGGAGTGTCAAGAGCCAAACCAAACTGGAGGACATAAGGAACTTCTCAGCCTCTTCAGAGCCTCTTGATTCCAGCCTCAGTTCAGCTCAGAGCTAGAGGAACTTCAACCTTCTTTCTTACCAAACTAGGAGCTTCCTAGGTTGGTAAAAACCATCTCAGTGACAAATGCTTACAGGTGACACAGACTTATGCTTACAGGCACCTGAGACTGGTTTTTTCCTGTTGGATGACCCAATACTACAGTGCCAGAACCCACTAATGACAACTTCTGGTCATGATAAGCTTTCCTAATTGAGACAAGATGACTAAGATGAGGAAGAACACGTCCAATGACATCAAACCATCTGCTCATTTGCCCAGCTGGTTGCATCAGAACTGTCCTTTGTGTATCCTGTTCACAACACCATCTTTACTCATTCCTCCTGGTTGCTATCACCTTACCTGCTTCACTGTCCTTGTTTCCCTCTGGAGAGGAAAAGGGTCCCATTGCCAGTGGAGACATTGGGTTGGCAGGTGAGTATGGAGCATCTGTGCCATCACTGGAGGAGCCACTCTGGCGCATCTTGCTGGACTCTGGGGGCTCTGGGATCACAGAAGATGCTGTAGCTATGTGCTTTGGGTGTCGTGGCTTCTGCATCTCCATGGCTCTGCCAACTGAACACACACAGAGGAGTTACACTCCTGGCAGAGCTTCTGCCTGGTTGTAGTGATAAGGAGGGGAAGCATTTCAGAACAAAAATAGGTTTGAGCGTCTTCAAATTATGTATTTGAAAAGCAAAAGGGTAACTGAGTCATCTTAGACTGAATTTTGCAAGGCAGCAGAGACTTTTAGCCTAGAGGGAACATGGATTTCCTTGTGTGACATACTTGCACTGCTATCGTGTCGACTTGGTCTCCTTGGTGGGCCCAGAATGTTGGGAAAACCTCTTCTCTTTCCTTTTTCCTCTCCTTCCTTCTCTTTCTTGATACTTTGCTGCAGTTAAAGAAAAGCAAACACATCACTCATGGCTTCAAATTCCATTCTTTGCTGAGGTATGAACCAATTCTTTAAAACTGCAGAAGGAAACACAACTTTTCTTACCCCTTCAAAGAGGTTGGGAACACTTTACTAAACTTTTTCACACTGTGACTGCAGAATTGCTCAAAACAGCCCTAACATTTCCAAGGAAAGTGGAATGCTGATGAAAATAAGGAGCTGCTGTGACCAGATACACCCCCAGAGTGTGGGAGACAAGTGATCACACCCACAGAGATGGAGTTTTGGTGGAAATATCCATTATGTAAGTGGCAAAGGGTGGGTGGCAGGAAGAATAGCTTTCCTGCAGTGGGAAGCAAGAGGTTTGGGGCAAGTTCCTCAAGAAGGAAACTAAAGTAGAGAGGCCAAGAGAATCATCAGCCTTAACAGGAGCCTCATGTGCTTCAAGGTGGTATTAGATGATTTCTCACCCAAAGTTTTTGTAAGGCAAGAACTGAGAAAAACAAGCAGAGTTTGGATGTACAGGTAAAGGAGGATAAAAGGCCACTCTGCTAATTCATGTGTCCTACAACAGACGTAGAACCCAATTTCAGCTGTTAGGTTTGCTGTGCAATCCTACAATCATAGATGTTAAGGGGTTGGAATGGAGCTTAGACCTCATCCAGCCCCAACTCTCTGCCCTGCGCAACCAGAGCAGGTTGCTCAAGGCTCATCCAACCTGGCTGTGAACACTGCCAGGGTTGGGGCAGCCACAGCCTCCCTGTGCCAGTGTCTCACCACCCTCACAGGGAAAAACTTCTCCCTAACATCTAATCTAAATTGCCCCTTTCAACTTATCCCCATTACTCCTTGTCCTGTCAGTCCCAGATCCTCATGGTGCAGAGCTTCAAATGATCCCAATCTCCAATGTGCCATGCCCCAGTGGATTTTGAATTCCAACCCCAAAGCTCTGTGGGCACAGCACTAGCACCTTGATCTTCGGCAGGAAGCCAATGCGGCCACGTTTCTGCTCCAGGTTCCGAGGCTCCTTCACCTTCACTCCCAAGTGTTTCATGTAGGTCAGGATCACATACTGCATTGTGGAGCTGCCAAGGAGACAAAAAAAAGTGAGGATGAGGAGAAATGTATTGGGAAAATCCATTTTTTAAAGAAAATGATAAAGGTTCAACGGGAAGTTTCTATCGGGAAATGAACTGTTTAAATGAAATTAGGATGGGTTTGGTTTTAACAGGAAATAAACTATCACAGGCACTGGGAAAAGTCACTGTCAGGATTTCTCTGCTTGTAAATAAAAGATGGAGTTGGTAAAGATGAAGTATATGGGTGGGGAGGCACTGGCACAGGTTGAGCAGAGAAGCTGTGGCTGCTCCATCCCTTGGAGTGTTCCAGGCCAGTTTGGATGAAACTTAGAGCAACCTGAGCTAGTGGAAGGGAGTTTAGAGCAACCTGGGCCAGTGGAAGGTGTCCCTGCCCATGGCAGGGGTGGAATCTTTAATATCCCTTCCAACCCAAACCAGTCTCGGATTCTGTACTAAAAGGCACAGAAATCCAAGGGGTAAAAATAAGCCCTTGGGAATTACACAGAGAGTCCTAAAACTCTACACTAAATATATAGTGAAGTCAGACTTTAGCTTTGAGATATAGCAAAAATAAGTCACAGGAAATATTGTCAAGAATATAGTAAAAGCTACAGAAAATATATGTCAGAGCAGATTTCAACAGCTACAATAGAAACCAAACAAAACGTGAAGACATTAAGGTTTTAGATCTGAAACACATGCAACAAATTAAGAGAAAGAGGAGGTGAGAGGCAGGAGGTTGATGCTCTGAATCCCAGTTAGTTCTGGCAGGGGAGTTAGGAGATGAGAGCTGGAGGAGCAGCCAGGAGAGGGCTGTCTTGCTCTGCTCAGCACAGCAGAGCCAGCACTGAGCTTCTCCCAGCACAGCCTCATTCCATTACCTCTTGTCTTCTTCCAAAGGCTGAGATGTCATCCTGAAAACAAGCAAGAATGTTAAAGTGAACCTTAACCCCAATGAACACCCAGTCAGACCCACCCACAGCATCACTGGTTGTATTCAAAGTGTCCTTTAAAATGTTAGAACGAGCCCCAGCAAGAAAAAAAAAAATCATAGAATTAAAACCCCAAAATGATGGTTCAGCTGTGAAAATTGCATTCAGCTCATATTAAAGGCAAAACCAGGTTCTAAAACTATGGATTTCTACAACTCCTAATAAAGGATTCTGGCCTAATACACAGTAGCAGCATCTCCTCTGCTGCTTGCACAGAAAAAAATACATTTCACTCCCCTCTTAGCTCACCTTTGGCTGTCATTACTCACACACACAGAGCAAACAGGGGAAGCAACATCAACACAGTGATATCAAATTCCACTTCCCAATTCCTTTCCTCTGCTGTGTGCAGGTTCAGGGCAGAACCTTTATTTCCCTCCCCAGTTGTAGCTGTTGGTACTTACAAGACTTCCTCAATCTTAGCAATAATCTGCTCTGCACATGTTCTCTCCTTCTCCACCGCGTTGCGGTCTCGGAGCCGTTCTGCATCCAGCTTGGTTAGCTCTCCCTCTGCCAGGGTCAGCCCCATGCTACGTTTCTGCCTGCAAGGAGGGCACAGGGAATCATCCCTTGAAACTGCAGCCTGGCCTGTGCCAGGGCAAAGCAACCACAGGACAGGCAGGAAGGGACACAGCTTTCAGTATTTTTTCGGTGTGCAAATGGAGAAGTCACAGAGGGATTTTTTCCAAGGGCACATAGGGGAAATAGCTTCAAACTGAACGAGGGGAAATCTAGAGGAGATAGGAGGAAGAAATTCTTCCTAGTTAGGGTGTTCAGGCTCTGGGATATTGCCCAGGGAGGTGGTGCAGTCACCATCCCTGGAGGTGTTTCAGAGGTGTTAGGATGTGACACTGCAGGATCTGGTTTAAGGATTCCAGCAGTGATAGGTTAATGATTGGACTTGATCATCTTAGAGGTCTCCTCCAGCCTTGATGATTCTATGATTCCAGTCTATGATTCTAAGTCATGAAAGGACTTTTTAGAAGGCCATATATTGACAGGACAAGGGGGAATGGCTTCACACTGAAGGAGAGGAGATCTAGATCAGATATGAGGAAGAATTTCTGCCCTGTGAGGATGGTGAGGCACTGGCACAGGTTGCCTAAAGAAGCTGTCTGACATTTATCAACATAATCATAGTATCATACTATGTGAAGGGGTTGAATTGAGCTTAGAGATGATCCAGCCCCAACACCCTGCCCTGGGCAGGGACACATCTCACCAGAGCAGGTTGCTCAAGGCTTGATCCAACCTGGTTTTGAGCACTGCGAAGGTTAAGACACATTGCAGCTGCCAAGGAAAAGTAGCTATTTTGCAGCCAACTCCTGTGCACACAGCTCAGGTTGTAGATTTAAAGCATCTACTTGAATTGAGATGTTTTTAGGTCTGAAAAAGTCCATTATTGAACACTGCCTTGGTATAATGTCTCTTGTTGGTACAGAGCTCTTACGACTCCACATGAAAGGGCAAATTAATTATCACGTTCTATTCTATGCTCATGACAACTTTGTCAAGTGGATTATTCTTTGCCCAAAGGGAAGAGGGAAGGAAAACAGGCAAATGAGAAAAAAGAATATATAAGCTGATTAGAAACACAATGAGGAAGGATTTAGAGAACAGCACCTAAGAAACAACACCCTGAAATTGCCTCAAAGAGAATCATAGAACTATCAAGGTTGGAAGAGACCTCTAAGATCATCAAGTCCAACCATGAGCCTCTCACTGCTGGAATCCCTAAACCAGATCCTCCAGTGTCAGACACCTCTTAAACACCTCCAGGGATGGTGACTCCACCACCTCCCTGGGCAATATTCCAGTGCCTCAACACCCTCACAGGGAAAATATTTCTCCTAACATCTAATTTGAAACTCTAATCTGAAATGGCTTCTAAGAATGAAGAATCCAAGCTCCAAAACTGATCTTGCAGTTGATTAGTTGTAGCACAGTGTCAAAATCCATTCAAGGGTTGGTCATGGGGTGACCTGGAGCTCCTCTCCAGTCATACCTTTCTGCTCAGTCCAAGATGAATTACTCTGTCCCTCAGGTTTGGGTTTCTCCTGCACTGACCACACTGACTTAGGTATGAATTAAGTGACAACCACACAGACAAGTGTTGTTACCTGAAATCTTCCAGATTCCTCTGAACTTCTGGACAAACTTTATCTTGCATAGTTTGTATGAACTGGCGGTGAAGCTCTTCAGGAAGGAGCTCTGGTCTTCTCCTGTCTGTGAGCCAGAGAAGTTCAGGAGTTATTCTCTTGAGAACAGTTCTGTCCACCTTGGAATAAAGTCATTCCCCATCCAAGAGTTCCCTTGTGCCTTTCCCTTACAGAAACACACACCCAAGGCAAGAGAATCTCACCTAGTTCCAAGGAGATTTCGTCTGGAACTGGAACTTTGAGGTTCTGCAAGAGAAAAGAGAGGCTAAAGAACACACACAGCAAACAGCACCAATAAAACCCACAGGACAAACCAGGCAAGGAAATCCCAAAGCCACAATCACCCACCTGACAGTATTAAAGGAAGAATTCCTCTATATTGCATTTCCCAGGGGTAATTTCATCCCTGGAGTTTAATTATGAACATGTGGTATCAGTTCTGCTCCACTATGTCCCAGTCCCATCCATGACAGTAAAGAATTTCTGAGGCTTCTCAACAGATACATAAAATTTCCCACTCCTTGTAGCAGCCACACCAATATTTACAGCACTTATTAGCCTAATTAATGAAAAGGCAATGCAGAACAGCTAGAGCTTAACTACCACTAAATTATTTCCCCTACCAGACAACAAGTTCCCTGTGATTTATTGTCTCATCAGGCACGAGGCCACACACCATTCATTTCCCTGCACTCACTGCTAACTCTGAAACAAAAACATTTCAATTAAGTTATTATTAAATTCCATTAAGCTATTTTTAATCATTACCAAAATTATTGTGTTCAAAACTTTTTATTATGGAAGATTTTAACCCCTTAGTATTTTTTCCAGTTCAGGTAAGAGGAGAAAGGTAGAAGTGAATTTGGGAGATATGCTTGAAAAGGAGGGAAAGGGTTGGAACCTACTGCAGCTCTGTCCAAGAAGAACTGGTAGAACTCAAGGAAAACACGTCTGGTCTCTTTGGAGTTGGTCTGCTTGTATAGGTCTGTGTAAAGGTAGCACAGCTGTGGGGAACACGAGGGCAAGAAATCAAGTGAGACCATGAGAACTCTTCCAACACTCCTAACTCTAAGATGGCTCTCAAATATTGCAAGAAACTCAGCATTTCTGGATTGAAAGTCTTCCTAGATACTCTAATAGTTTTATAGACCTTCCCAGCAGACAACTAATCCCAACACCTTAGAGCTGGACTGGATTGGACTAATCTCATCACCAAAAGGTTGGACTGGATGATCTTCATAAGTCCCTTCCAACTCCAAAGATTCTAAGACCTTAGGGTGGGATGAAAGGTTCTCAAGAGCTAAATACTTGTTTGTGAACAGCTAAATATAAGGGAGAAAAGTTCATGTGTCTCCATCTAGCTGAGGAGATAAAGGAGAGATTGATTTGTGTGGGGATCTCACAGCACCTTCCAGGATCTGAAGGGCCCTTAATATTCTACGACCACCCTCATGCCTGCACAAGACCCACATTTCTCTCCTTGCCACATCCCTGACAATGTCACACAACCACAAGGAGACCCTGGTACTATCTGGTTAAGACTTCTCTGTGCCAGGGGAACAATTCCAGACCATCTTACCAGTGCTGCAGGATCAAACTGAGACACCACATGATGCAGGAGAACAGCCAGGTGAGCTGGGCGAGATTTTAGGAGCTCAATGCTCTGGAAGCAGCTGCCTTGGCCATTAATCTGTGGAGACACATGGGAAATCTGAATTATTCAAGGAAGATAAAGCAAGGACAGCTACAATAACTCAGAATAAGTATGTCAAAAGCCACAGCAGCTCTACTGCTGTGACAATGATGCAGAACTTAACAGAGACTAAATAAGCAGAAGAGAATGAAACGAGGCAAATTAATTTGTAGAAAGGAAGTTCTGGAAGAGGAACAGAAAGCCTCAAAGATGGCACATTGGCACATCATCCTGCCAAATGTTTCTCTTTGGCAGCAGCAGCAATAACAGGAATCCCATTCCCTAATTCCTGTTTCCCAGTACAAGAACTGCTCAACACAAACAAGTCTTGGAGCACTTGTGGTTTGGGCTGAGAGGTGCAGGGTTCTGGGGGAGAGGGAAAAGGAGTGGCTGAGGCTGAAAGTCATTCCCACCTGCTCCTGTTCTGTGTCAAAGTCATCATCCTCTGCTCCAATGATCTGAGTCCCCACTCGGGATAAAGGACTTCCAACACTGGACTGGGAATCCTGGAGTCAGTCACAAGGGAAGGAAGGAAAGTGCTGTTAGTCTCTTGTCACAGCAAACCTATTTTACCAAGTTAGAGCTATTACTACCATTTTTATTCTCCTACTCCAAACCAATGTGTCTCCACTCAACCCTGTCCAGGTTGGCAGCTCTGACATCCCTTCCCAAAGCCTCCCCCAACTCCACACACTCCCAAACATCAAAGCAGATGATTCAAGACCTCATGCACAGACATGACACACCATGGCATGTGACAAATGCCATCTTGGGATAAATGGAGAGATTTGGAAATTTTTCACTTTGGAAAAACAAGGAGATGAGGGGGAAATAGTGGAGAAGTCATCCTAGGGATGATATGTTCAGACAGATCTGCACTCCCTGCTGAGTTCCACTTTTCCCAGTGCTGCTAATGCCACTTCATAACGGCTAAATAGCCCAAAAATGCTGTTTCATTCCCTGCTGGACTCAAGGAATGAAATATGTCCAACTCTCTACCTATTTCAGACCCAGCTGCTTTACTGCTCATTATATAGTTCTTACCTCTAAATGACTTTGCTCTTAAGCTTCATAAACATTTCCTCAGCTAATTAACTTTTCCCTGCACAATTTTAATTGCCTTTTCTAAAGCAAAGTTCCTGCATGCCCCATTTCCAACGAGGGGGGAAGCAGCAAGGTTTTAATGGGCCCATCACAAAAGATGCTGTTGTGACACTTGATGATTTGTACTCACATTGTCTTGAAGCTCAGCCTTTTCTGGGCTCTCATCTGGGTAAATTCTCTCCTTCAGGCCACTGCGAGGACTCTGGGAAAGGAGGAAGTTCAGGTCTGGTGAGTATCAGTAAATGCAGGAAAGTGAGAACTACACACTGAGTTTTGCAGCCACAAGAGCCAAAACTTCTCTTTTCTCACAGACTGAACTGGTCATCAACTGAGGTATGAAAAACCAGAATGAAATGTGTGACCTACAGGCAGAGTTAACAAAAAAAAACCCAAAACCCCAACTGAATGCAGAAGGAGATTTGGTAAGAAAGTTGGTGACACTGAGTAACAGCCAAGCTGGGAAAAACATAGAATCATAAATGTGAAGGGGTTGGAATGGAGCTTAGAGATCATCCAGCCCCAATCCCTGCCCTGGGCAGGGACACCTCCCACCAGAGCAGGTTGCTCAAGGCTCATCCAACCTGGCTGTGAACACTGCCAGGGTTGGGGCATCATCATCCCTGGGCAACCTGTGCCAGTGTCTCACCATCCTCCCAGGGAAAACTGTTGCTTTCCAGCCTCTCTTTTTCCATGGGGTCACTCCACCCCAGCTGCAGAACTCTGGAATTCTTGTTCAGCTTCCAAAGGTTCCTATTGCCCCAATCCTTATGTTTCTCAAAGTCACTTTGGATTAAAAAGCTTCTATGTTTGGTGTGCCAATCACCACCAGTGATCTCACACCACTCACAAAACGGACACAATTGAGTTTATTAGGAAGATAACTATGAATTTAATGGAATAAATAGCATTTATTATCTAGAAACATGAGTGATATCTGGTCAGATCTGGAGTTGGAGGAGGAATGATTCAAACCAGAGCCATGTATGTTCACATCTGACCCACCTTCCTTTCACTTCTACCAACTGCTGAGACAAATTTAGCTCTCTCATCCTTAAGTTAATCAACAAACTTAGGCTAAATCCAAGCACAGACTCTCAATTCCCCTGCACTAATCAGATAGTGACTTAATTAAGGATTAGGCACTAAGCACTGCAATGGGGAGAGCACAGGAGCACAGACTGATAACTAATGAGTGAACAGACTAAGAGCCTTTCCTGCTGGCAATAACTGAAGCTGATCTGGGAGAAGGAAAGCTCTTCCCCACTTCCATGGCAACTTGCCCACTGCCTGGATCTGAGTCACAGTCACAATTGGAACACTCTCATACCCTTAAAAGATGCTCTAATTGGCATCTGAGTTCTGAGGAGGATACTGGCATCCATCTCTCTTTCTGTGCTTCCAGGGATTATGCCAGGGAAATCTAACCCTACATGAAAACCCAAACCCACACCCAGTCCCTAATGCAAGGCCAGGGAAAGATTTTTGGGGGCACTGAGAAGCCTAATGCAGTGATGCAGAGTGTGACTGAGCCAGAGCATACACAGGACAACCCGAATCTGCACAGGGAAACCAAAGGCAAAAAGGTAGAGCAGCAAAGTGCTGGAGCTGTTGAGACTCACATCAGCAATGTCACTGTTGGGTCTGGAGGGGCTGTCACCACTGAAATCCAGTTTGCTCACACAGTCCCCAGTCTCTGCCTCTCCTTCACTGATCTGCAGTGATTCTGACACAGACCTGGAGGACAAGACTCCATCCTGGAAAAATAAAGTGAGTTGAGACACAGCCCAGAGCAAGGAGAATATCTCAAGAGACAGCACTTAAACATCAACTGCTTTAAAAGCCACTTTGTTCACATCACTTAGAAAACTTCTGTGAAGACAACAGGAAAACCACACCAAGTTTGCAGGACTTATAACATCATAGGCAGAGGGAAAAGAGGAAAAATAATACTACCTGCATTTATTTTTAGCAAAACCAAAGCTGTTTTAAGCTTCCAGTTATTAATTTTCCACTCTAAGAATGACTTCACAGGTTTCTTTAGAGTGGCATGGGCAGACTAATAAACACCTTATGGTTTGCACTTACTGCCCAAAAAGTTTTTTCCCAGATGATTTAAAGCCACTGCAAAGCCAATTTCATCCTGACACTGCCCTGCTGGACAGTCCCTGCAAGTTTAGCTCCAGCTCTCAGCTCCAGAGGGTGCAACTTGCCTGGCCAAGCACAGCAGGGCCTGGCAGGGATCTCCTGCTTGCCCACAACACCCTCATCCCCCAGGAATTTTCACCTGGAGAAGCCTGACCCGTTGTGTTACCTGAGTAGAGCCTGTGGCTTTGGACAACTGCTCCTGCAGCTGAGGAATGTGCTTCTTGGCTTCCTGGATCTCTTTGTGCAGTTTGGTGGTGGGAGATCTGCTGTACTCCTCTTGCAGGGACTGAAAAACAAGGGTGTGAGATTTCCCTCAGTATCTCAGCTTAGAACCACAACCTACTGCTCATATTTTCACTATCACATCTTTGTCTTTGTATCAGACCTTCCTCCACCCTCTCCTACTTCCACAGCTCCAGTACCTGCAGCCTCTCCTGCTCCTTCTGTAACATCTTCCTCAGAATCTCCACCTTCTGGTTGTGGACAATGTTATTCTCCTCCTGGAAAATACAGAGAGAATAAGGGTTGTGTTTCTGGTGGAGCTGGGAAGGAAATTGGACATGCCATTTTCTCATCTACTTTCTAAACATGAAACCTGAAAAGTCACACAAGAAGCAATTCAAGCTCCCAAACCCCATCCTGGCCATTCTTTCCTCATTTTGAATGTAGCCAACAACATTTAAGCTGTATTTGTATTACCTCAGATGGGACTGGAGATTTGCACTTGCAAAATGGTTTTTACCCCCAAGTGCCTAAATGGCCACGGACAGGATAAATATTCCAATTTGTGATTTGTGCAAGAGCAGCTAAACAAATCAGAGGGAATCCTTCCCTGTGAGGTGCTGAGGCACTGGCACAGGTTGCCCAGAGAAGCTGTGGCTGCTCCATCCCTGGGAGTGTTCCAGGCCAGGTTGGATGGGGCTTGGAGCAACCTGGGCTGGTGGAAGGTGTCCCTGCCCTTGGCAGGGTGTGGAATGAGATGACCTTTAAGGTCCCAACCCAAACAATTCTGATTCTGTGATGATTCTATGATTTATTCCCTGTCTGAACCTCTCAGCAGAGCCCCAGATGTGCTCCTGGTGTGTGTTCTCATCATGTACATGTTTGCCTCTCCTTTGTGCACTGTTCAGGATCTGGAGGGAGAAGTATTTTGCTCACTGTTGTCCCAGCAATGTGTGGGTGAAAACCTTCCTCTCCCACTAGGCCCAGGAAGCTTCTGTGTGGCCTCTTTCAATGTGGCTCTAAGCTTGGAATGCAAAGCAGGTGCAATGGGAACCATCTCGATGCTTCTAGTGCCATTAGATCTGTGTAGTATAAATCATATGCCATGTTCAATTCTCCCTGTGTTCAGCAATGGGATTTATTCCTTGGTGGGATACAGTTGGGAACTGCCTTAAAAGAGGCAAACTCAGCTTGCAACTGTACAGGGAGTGGAACTAGATGAGCTTTGAGGCTTCAACCCCAAACTAGTCTGTAATTCCATGATTCCTTCCCCTGCTCCATCAATTCTTTGCCAAGAGAGCTTTAAATCTTACCCCCATAAGCACTGGGCTAGTGATCCTTTCTGCATTTCCTGACGTGCCAGGCGAATGGGGAGATGTCATGATGGGAGACATATGCCCAAATCCTGCTAGATCCACTTCAGAGTCAGCCAAGGGGATCTGGGGCGACCCTGGTGGGCGCCCCTGCACGGTGAGAGCTACATAGGAACCCGCTGAGGGACACAACAAGGCACAGGTCAGACACACCACCAGATTCAGCTCCCTCATTAGGCTTCTATGCTTTGCCTGATTGCCATTTCCCTCTGCAGACAGCACCAGAGATTCCTCCCACTCCTCCCTCAAAGCAGAGAGCCTGAGAGCACTGTCAGCTCTGAGATCTGTTTACACATCAGGGAACTCGTGATAATCATCCTTTAGCAAAGCACACAACCCAATTTTTAGCCCAGCACGTGACATCTGCAGTATAGATATGTTCATACCACAAAATAAAATATGCTGGAGTGGAAGAAACCACTAATACCTTCCTCCTTGTACAAGAAAATCAGCTAACGACACATTTCCTTTAGCAATTCCAGAGCCTTGGCTAACGACACATTTCCTTTAGCAATTCTAGGAGTCTCATCCAGCAATGTGGATTAAAAGGGCCTGAACAGCTGTGGAATGTAAGGTGGAATCAAAAGGTGGGAAAGCACCTAGGCAAGGCTTGATACTAAGTTCAAACATCCAGCTAAGGACAAACTATAGAAGCTTAAGTTCAAAGATGTCAAAATGACCCCAGTTTCACTTCCCTGTTTCAGACACTCCTTCCTCACCCAGCACTGGGCATGGTTACACCTCAGCCTTGTCACTTGGGAGCTCAAGCAGTAGTTAGACCTTTCAAGTGATGCCTGTTATGCTTTAAAGGAGCACAGTGACAGCAGCAAGCACTGCCTTTACTTACACTTGATCAGCTTTACCACCTCCAAATGGTTTGAGTGAGTTACCAGAGTGCCATTCACCTGGTGTGGGGAGGAAGAGAAAAATCAGTGTTTTCATCTATTGATTTCCAGCCAAAGGCATCCACACATCCCTCAATAAGCACCAGAAAGAAGAATAGTATTTTCTTTTTCCCCCATCTCCATTAATATGTCTTTCAGGTCATTATCAGATAAGTAATTTATCCTTCCAACAGTTTGTCTCAGTGAGCAAAGCTCTGCAAAAACAAAACTATACATACACACACCACAAAAACCAAGCAGATTTAAAAAAAAAAGAGAAAGCAACTCATTTCTGACTGGGCAGAAAAAGATCAGGGCAGCTAATTTAAGTCATTCATTTAAAGGCCTGGGGGAAATCCCAACTCTTATCTATGTCAGTGGCACAACCAGCATTTTGCAGTTTTTACAGCCTTTTTAGTTACTCACTTGATTTCTTAGCTGCTTGGGACTAAAGGAAAACACAGATCTGGAGGCAGTTAGAGGAAGAACACGAATTCAGGCAGACTATGCATTTACAGGGCATTAAGAGTAACTCTCTGTTCCTTCTCTCCTCTGCCAATTCTGGTTTGATTTCATTTGTGATACTGAGCCTTGGAGGATGCTGAACTCACCCACAAAGTTGTGAAATGAGTGATCTCCACACCAGAACTGACACTCAGCACTGAGACTTCAGTGATTACTGTTCTGGTACCCTCAGAACATGAAAGCTTAGACCATTCCTCTATCCTCCAGACTAATGCAAACATCACAGCAGACGTATCCTATCCCATTTTTGTGGGCAAAGAGCTCATTTCATACAAAGGATCCATTTCTCTGGTGATCTGAATGTCCTTACCTTGATAATCCTGTCACCTGTCTGCACTCCAGCCCGCATGGCTGCTCCATCTGGAGGGGAGAAAGCCTTTAGTTTCAATCTCAGTACACCCATTCCAAGCAAAAAAAAGGTGTCAGCCTCTTTCCATACACCCATTCCAATGGTTCTATGGTCTGAACACTTGGGTAGTTACATGCAAAACTGCTTCCTGCACTCAGCCAAGCTCCCTCTGCCTCCATCAGGTTAAAGCCTCTGGGTATCTAGCCCAGAGCAGTTCTCTTCTCACTTTGCAGTGGCTACACCATGCCACGATCCCACCACATTCCAAAGAGTTATTCCTTTCCCCTTGGATGCAAGAGGTCACTCTCCAAACCCACCAGACAACGAGGAGGTGATGGTGATTCACCACATCCCAACAGCTCAACGCTCCGCACACCCATTCCCAAGCTACACCCAGCCCACCTTGAGGATTGGTGGAGTTTCTCCCAGATTTTGGTGACCCACATGCACCCCCTGAGGTCCTCTCTGGCTCCTTCATCCTGCTGCTCACCTTCCTTGACAGACTGCACGAAGACTGGGTTGTCTCCGCTGACTGTCAGCCCGAAGCCGTTCTCATCCCGCTGGATAACCACGCAGCGCTGAACAAGACCTGCAGAAGAAAGGTGGGGAGAAGGGCAGGAGAAAGAGAAATACAAAGAGACACAAGCTAGGCATCAGTCCAAAACCTTATCCTCCTAGATAATCACAGGGTACTGAAAGGAAGTGGTACAATACAAGAGAGGGAGAAGATGTGAGAGACAGAAACAGGGCAGCAGGCCAGAAATAGAGAGGGATGGCAAGATAGAGAGGGATGGGATGGCAAGACAGGTCAAGCTTATTGCTTCAGCTGCACACAACACACAGATACAACAGCAGAGGTGCAGACAGCTCTGGCACACCAGACACAACTGGAGGTAAAAGCAGCAGTACACAAACCAGTGAGTAAAATCTCCCTTTGTCTGTGTGAATGGTTCAGAGCACGGCAGAGCTGTCGTGTTCCACCACACCAGCAACACCAACCAACTCCAAAAACACAAGTCCCAAATCTCCTAGGCTAGTGATGGGGTTGGGCTACAACAGTTTATAATATCAGGAAAAGTTCTCCCAATTCTCAGCAAAAATCTCTTCTTGGGGCATCTTCTGGTCTAGCTGAGCATATCCCACAGAACCAGTGAACAAGGGCAAACCACACTGAGCTATCTTGAAAGGACTCCTGAAATAAAGGCCATGCTGAAGTTCAGGGCCAAAATCCCAGGAGATGGGAGTGGGACCTGCTCCTCCTTTCACTTGCTGTGAGACATCAAAGGCAACTTGGTTTGTTTCCTGGTGCACTCACTATTCTGTGAACAGAGAGAAATGTACTCAGCAGGTGCAGCATTCAGACCAGCTGAAATGCTGGCTATGACTTTGGGCACCTAAAAATGAAGTCATGGAAGAACAAAAAAACAAGCAGCAGCCCTGGCATAGTCATTGCTGAGCCTGTTCCTAGAAATATCTGCAAAAAAGCCTCCTACAATGGAGCTCTTCTCCTCCAAAGCGACTTTAGGAGCTCTGCAAGATGCTTCTTTCAGTGCCCTTTTATTTCCATCACCCTTATTCCAACAGCTGCTTTGCTGCCTCATTTCTACAGCCACATCAGGCAAAATTCCTACACCAGTATCCTGAGGAAGGATTGAAGTTCTTCACAATCAAAGTCGTAGCACTTTTGTTTAGCATGGAGGAATCCCAGGGAACTGGGAAGATGCTGTCCCAGCCAGACTGGCTTTTCTGGAATAACTCTTAAGGCAGAGCATGGAGCCATACTCATGTCTTAAATTACTCTGGTACCACTGCAGCTCCTTTCACTTCTCATGGAAATGAGGAGCCTTGAGTGAAAACACTGTCTGCCCAGTCAGTCCTGTTCTCCTCCAGTGTGGCATACATGAAAACAGCAGTGGGAGCAGGGGAAAAAGTTGTGTTCCAGCACCTGGAGAGCAGTGTGGTCACAGTCTCACCTCCCAGCAACTCCTCTCCTGCCAGTGAAGGAGAAGCAAGTCATGCTGCACTGATGGAACAAGGTGGGAGCAGACAAGAGGAGAATCTCCACCTTTCACAGCCTCTTTCTCTGGCTAAGTGCAGTAAATGCCTCTCCCCTTTGCACCTCCCATTCTGCTGTATGTTCTTCAAGTCTCACTTCCCAAGAATGATGCCCCAGGGTGGGGTGTGGGAACCAGCACATGTGCTGGTTCATCCCAGCAGCTCCTTTCCAGCCCTGCAGCCCCATGAGTAACACACTAAACTAAGCTTTTGACTCACCAGAACTGTCCCTGTTTAAAGGCACAGCAGAGCTCAGAGTACTCACTGCTCTTCCACTGGATTTCTCTCCTTTCCAGGACCAAGAGCCCTTGGATCTATTGCTAAGCTTCCTCCTTGCATGAGCCTGATGCCAATGCAGTGACACCTCATCAACTGACTTTACAGAGCCTAATTTAAGTCCCCAGAGCAATCAAATTAAACTGTTTCACCCCCATAAGTCTCTATTCCATCCAAGACCACCTTTTAAATTTGGAATGGGGAGACAACTGAAATTAAGACAAGCTGAACCCAAATTACTCCATAATTGCTTATCTCTGTAGTTGTTCCCTTCAGATAAGGAAGGGGCACTAAACCCTTCTCCAAACTCAATATAGAAGGCTGAAATGAGATGCAGGGAGAGCTCAGGTAGGCCTGGCTGAGAGATATCATGCTTGACTGAGACACACAGCAGCTTTACAGGGATTTTAATGAAGTTATCTGAAGTTTCCTCAAGAAAACACCATTCCCTGCAGAACCACAACACCCTGTCTGAGCAGGCAGACCAAAAAGAACAACCTTCAAATCCTCTTTTATTCTGTTCTGAGGGAAAATGAGCAAAGAACCCCAAAAAAAAATCTGCCATCTGCTCACTTTTTGGTTCTTGAAGTAAAATATATCCAATTTGAAATCTGCTTAGTGGTGGAATTTTAAGAGCAGAGCAGCAATGTTTTCATAACCCACATGTGGTACCTTGAACACCTCATCAGACACTCTGGAATGGACTGAAAGGAAAGCCACAAACCACTGGGAGCCCAATGACACCAAAGTTTCCAAGAGCTGTTCCTGTCACACCTGGATATCCCAAGAACATAGAGGGACATGCAACTACTAACTAAACCAACTTCAACCCAGTGTATGAGCTTGGGGCAACACTGGAGAGCTCATGTTAGCCAGTGCCAATCAGCCTTTCATTCACCTTTCTCCCTTCGTGTTCCAACCCTCAGTGTCCCCTGGATGGAAATCCTGACTCATTCCTTTTGCTATTTCACTTTATCCAGCTGAAACTTAGGGAATATTACAAGATCTGAACCCCTCATGGACACTCCTCAAAATCAAATCACTAATAACCTTATTCCCACATTTGCTTTCACTTGACAATATCTTCATGGCAAGGAGGGATTAAACATCACTTATCAATCCTTTAAGTACCCAAAATCACACTGGATGTTTGTGTCTTGAGTGGATTCATCAAATTCTGTGGAGAAACAATAAATCTTCATCTTTTTTGCTCCTCGTGAAGATGTTAATTCCCCAGATTCACTGGGAGAGCCTCAAGGCAGGAGCACAGCAAAGCAGTCAACTCTGGGCTGGAGTTAAGGAGGTTTAAACTCAAAAATTGAAGTGTTAGAAATTACCAGTGTCAGGAAGAGGAATTGCAGGCAAAGCTAAGAGGATTCACTCTTCAGTAGGTGGCACTAGTCCCTCTCCTTTCTCCAGCTCTGTTCCAATTTGGGATGTGGGGAAGGGTAAGTCAAACCTTTCGAGGTCAGTGACACCCCATGGCAGTGAGATTGTCTCTAAGAGTCTTGTCAGATACATTTTCATTGTCCAAGAGCTTCTCTAGTAAAGAGATCGTTCACCTTCTTCTCTTCTACACATTCTACTGGGAAGTTATTCAACAAAACAGGGAATTTCATACAGCTATAGAATTTTAAGGGTTCAAATGGAGCTAAGGGACCATCCAGCCCAAACCCCTCTGCCCTGGGCAGGGACAACTCCCACCAGAGCAGGTTGCTCAAGGCTCATCCAACCTGGAATGAAACATTGCCAGGGTTGGGGCAACCACAGCCTCCCTGGGCAACCTGGGACAGTGTCTCATGCCATTAGCAGACCCCAACAAACAGAGCAGGAGCTCATCCTAAAAACCTGAATCACTAAAGAGAATGGGGAGAACCAGGTTGGATGGGCTCAAACCACCTGTGCCCACATGGATGTTCCTGAGCCATTGGCATTCCAGGGCCTAAGGGGGCACACCAAGAGTGTTGGAGAGGGACTTTGGACAGGGCATGGAGTGACAGGACAAGGGGAATGGCTTCCCACTGCCACAGGGCAGAGTTGCATGGGATATTGGGAAGAAATTCTTCCCTGTGAGGTGTTGAGACACTGGCACAGGTTGTCCAGAGAAGCTGTGGCTGCTCCATCCCTGGGAGTGTTCAACCTTGGATAGGGCTTGGAGCAACCTGGGCTGGTGGAAGGTGTCCCTGTCCATGGCAGGGGGTGGAACCAGATGATTTTAAGGTCCCTTCAACCCAACCCAGCCTGGGATTCTCTGAAACATGAAGCACATCTCCCATAACACAACATGAGCTTCTCCTCTGCTCAGACACAGCTTGGGAGCTGAGATCTGTGAACTCTAACCTCCCTGGGGGCATGAGGCCACAATAGGAAAATGCAGTTTACTAGTGTGATTTGCAATGAATCATTCCATAAACAAAAACAAACTCCTTGGGGTTTTGAGAATGTCCAAAGGTTTCAGTTCATTTGGGAAGTTTTCTGGCTAGAAAGTATTTTCAGAAACAAAATGTAGAGAACTATCACCTCTTAAAAAGGCAATTCCTCCTAGGATGCAATTCTGAACTTCTAGTTCTAGTTCTTACCATGATCTTCATACCAAATGCCATATAAGCAGCATTCCTCAGATTCTTCCAGTAACACAAGTCATGCAAAGTCAGGGCAAAAAATATAGTGTCTGAACTGGTGCAGTGGCTTAAAACTGTTCAGAACAACAGCACAGAACACTGTTCA